TCTAGACCAAAGGTCTACTCTGGGCAGCAAATTGGCTGCTAATTGTTGTTGTTGTTGCAGAGCTTTGAATTTTGAGGTAAATTTCTCCAGCAGCATAGCAGAAGTGCAGCAATTCACAGAGCAAAATAGCTTTAAGTTCCTCACAGTAGTCCACCCCTTTTCTCATTAACTGAGGGGCTGTTTCAGCAACTCACTCTGAGACATTAGGAGGAGAAAGAATAAGAAACATTTGCCTTACTTAGAGTTGTGATGAAATCAACAGCAAACTAACAAAACAGACTGATTGCAGTAACAAACTTCAGAGAGTTTAGAGAGTGGAAAATTGCTCAGTGGAGAATTAAGACTGCTTTGAATCTCTTTCTTTTCTGCATTCTCCGCCTTTCTGTTCCTTTCCTATCCTTTTTCCTTTGTCTTTTTGGCATTTCCTGCTCTGCATTAACGCTTATTTTTCCAGGATCTTTCTCCGAGCCATAAACCAATACGCCTCTGTGCTCAACCGATTCTTCCTGGACCAGGCCAGCTTTGAGCTGCAGGTGAGTGGGAAATTCAGCCCTCTTTGATCGTAGGTGCTGGAAATGTAGATGTCCACCTTTTGTGAGATGTAACATTCAGCACATGCACGCTTTATGCACAAGTCATATTTACCCCAGACCTCAACAAAATACGTGAGGAGGAAAATTATACTAACTTCCCTCCTTCCATGCTTTGGCTCTACACGAAAAGTCTCCACACAGAACCTTTCTAACGCATACAATGGCTTTCTATTTGGATATTTTTTTTAAATTTCTTTGCTCTGTTTTTGCTGTGGGAGAGTGTTCAAAAGTGTCATCCTTCCCTTGTGGTCTCAAGGGGTGCAGTCCATTTGATCATCTGAACTGAGGCAGTGGAATGCTGGATTGATAGGACAGGCGGTACCTCCAGGGAAGGAGGGATGTTAACATTTTAATAGCCTCTGCCTTAAGATTTTCCCGCACAATAGGGAAAGAGGTGGCTTCGAACATTTCTCCTGAAGGTCCCAGATTTCTGGGAGTGAGATATGCAGCTGAGGATCCTTTGGAAAACGGATTCCCCCCCCCAATCCGAAGTAAAGCAATGGATTTTACCACTTCACTGTTACAAGGTTTCATCCTGCTGCACATGAACCCGAGCCTTGATGGGTCCCCAGTTGAGTTTGACTACTGCTCCCATCCGGATAGCTCATCAGTTTCGGTCTCAAGCTATAGAGCCCGGTGTTAGGAGTTGGATTCCCACTGTGCTTCCTTGACAGGGGCTGGACTCAATGATCCATAGGGTCCCTTATAGCAATGCAATTCTAAGATCATGCTCTTCATCATCATCCCTGGCCATGTGCCACACAGGTTGGGCCTGATGGGATTTGTAGTCCTCCCTGCATTTGAAAGACATTGGGAGCCATATTGTCTTTCTCTGTGAATTTTCCCATGACCTTTTGAATCCCCGACGGAGGGTGGAATGGGGGGGCGTTGTTGGCCTGGAATATTTCCCTCTGTGCTTTGCTTCTTGATTCCCAGACACACCCAGTCAACCACAGCTAGAAACAGGATGTTGAAGCTAAAAGGGTTTTGGTCTCATACAGAAGGGCTCTTAATGTCATCTGCATGACTCAGAAGTGAAATCTGAACATCCTATTGTGTTTCTTTCAGTTTGTGGGTGATGACTACATTTGGATGATCCTTGCGGTCTGATTAATTAATTGTCCACAGGGAAACTAATTACGGCTGGCCCTAGAATATCAAGGGCTCCAACTTAAAACTGTCTGAAATAGGACCAATTCCATTTTTTTTGGACTTTAGATTCCAGGCTAAATTGCCAGATCTCTGATTCATTGTTGCTACTGTCATTGTTGTGGTCCTCACCACAACCACCGCTACTTTTCAGGAATATGTCCACATATTCAAAAGATGTAACACCAGTTACATCAGATACAGGGCATCACAGCCACTGTGAAGTAGCAGGCAGACGGAATGGATTGTGAAATTGCTTTGATCCCATTTTAATTCACTTGAGGGCAGCTTTGAACAGAAAGTTTTCCCCTACTTCCTCATCTTGGGGCCGCTACAGATAAGGCCCTGTTTGCTGTGCAGGCCAACCAAACAGATCTGAGCTGCAGGCACTCCCTTCAAACCAGCCTGAATAACTCATCTGGAACGAGATAAAGATGTTCACCCTTCGAAAACGAGTAAGATGATCCTGTGGAACTGCTCCAGGATCATTCTCACTCACCATGAAAGTGATCCTAGAACATTTTGAAACATTATGAATGTTTCTAATTTAATAATAATATAATTTATTGTCGTTGTAAGTATATACACGCTCACCATGAAAATGATCCTAGAACATTATGAAACATTATGAATATTTCTAATTTGAACACAGACCTGCTATTCCAGTGCTATATCCACTATGCCACATTGCCTGCCTATCACTAGGGAAACTGAATATTACTAATGCAGCAGTGACATGGGTTATTGACATCTCAGAAGCATCCCTAGGCATTTGAGACAGCTTCATGGGTAAATATTTGATGTTGTCAAATGTCAGCTGCATAATTTCATCTTTTCTCTCTCTGTCCAAAGCTATGGAATAATTATTTTCACTTGGCTGTTGCATTTCTGACCCACGATTCCCTCCAACTGGAGACCTTTTCCCAGGCTAAAAGGAGCAAGATAGTCAAGAAGTAAGTTTCCATGTGAGTTCCTTTTCTCTCTACTCTCTTTGGGCCTTTTTGCGACTCCATGCTAGATTTCAGCCACGGCTTGATTAAATTCGCATATATTTGGGTATAGCTTTGGAGAAAAGGATGTCAGATCCAGGCTTAGCCCTCCACAGAAGTCAGTGGGGGGAAGGTGGAATGTCTTCCATGGACGGAAGTCACCAGGATCTGGAAATGGGTTCTCACTGAATTCTGCAATCCTTTCTGCTATTCCTCGGTGTCTGGAGTTCTGGAGAACACTTCCAGGACCCCGAGGGAAGAATTTTGCGGGCCTAGATTTTGTTAAAAGTCAGTTTCTTTCCTTTTGCCCATGGGGTTGTGGCTCATGATGGTTTGTGGGTACTCATGAACCATAAACATCACAAAACCCACCCACCCAAAAAAAGCATCCGGAGGGGGAAATGTTCAGCTCTTCCTTTTGCTTCAGTAAAACAGGATCCCCAAACTGAGCAGGATCCCCAAATCAATATACAAAATGCTGTCTCTCTTTTTTTCCTGTAGATATGGGGACATGAGGAAGGACATTGGCTTCCAGATCAGGGACATGTGGTATAACCTGGGTAAGCTTCATACATTTGCAAAGTACCTGGGAAACTCAGAGTTGTTGTCCGGGGAAAAAAAAACCTTTTCTAAGAACTGAAATTATTTCCTGAGATCTGAAATCCCTACACAGGAGCTGGAGGAGAAAACGGCTTCATACTAGAATAGAAGAAAGACATGAGTGAAGCAGTAGCAGCCAGTTCAACCTCTGGGTGGAAACTTTAACACGGCGTTCCCCCTTCCATTTCCTCCCACCCTCCTGCTACTAGGGCATCTGCTTTAGAGCAGCATATGAGCCCAGCATCCTACAGAGGAAGAATGGGAGGGGAGAGGGGAACAAGGAAGCAAACAGAAGCAGCTCCATTGCGGCTTTTGCATATGAAAGACTGGAGCTGGGATTTGGAGGTGCTGAGTGGGGAGAGCAGCTGCCGTCATGTGCCCTTGAGATCCATGGCAGCCATCTGTTGGTCCCTAATCCCTTTCTTCTTCTCTTCTTTCTCTGTGTCTCTCTGCTCCCCTTTCCCACCTCCCCAGGGCCTCACAAGATCAAATTCATCCCTTCAATGGTAGGCCCCATCCTGGAGGTGACGTTGACCCCAGAGCCAGAACTGCGGAAGGCGACCATCCCCATCTTTTTTGACATGATGCAGTGTGAATTCAACTTCAGCAGTAGCAGGGACTTTCATACGGTAGGGGACCCAGCAGAACAGAAGAAAGCGCCCGGGGCCTCTTGGCACAAGGGGGGAGTGTGTGTATGTGTGGGAGACAGCAGTATCTAGATAGTAGGACTGGTTTTTACAACAACTTCTGGAATAAGTTGTGGTGTGGATCAGAGGGAAGAGATCATTGCACGGTTGCAGCAGGGGCACTTTCTAATTACTTGCAACTGCAATATTGTTAGCCAACCCATCAGGCCTCCATGATCCCATAAGTTTAGTTACAGCTTCTATGAACCAGGGGAAAATGCCTTTTCTTATCAATGAAGTGCTGTTTGCAGTATAACCCAAACCACCTAGAAAATGGCTTAATGAATGAATTTATTTATTACGGTCACGTGACCGGCTCATAAAACATATTTATGGTTAAAATATTAATGAATTTATTTATTACGGTCAGGTGAACCAGCTCATAAAACATATTTATGGTTAAAATATACAAAATGCAGTTTAAAAATATACAACCAATTCATAAAACATATTATGTGGCTAAAATATACAAAGTGTCCAAAAATGTCCAGGCAGTTCATAAAACATGTGGTTAAAATATACAAAATGCAATTTAAAAAGTGTACAGCCAGTTCATAAAACATATTATATGGTGAAATATACAAAATGTAATTTAAAAAGTATTTAGCAAATTATTAATTGTGTACTGGCTGTAAAATATGGGGAGAATCAAATACAGCATTTTTATAGCTATCCTTTGAACCATTGGATTGTCCGGGGCAAACTGATTAGGACAGGGTCTTTGGGTTATAGGGAGTGCTTCCTACATATTTGTAAAGATCTGTAAATATTTCCTCCCTTAGAGAATGGTTTAGCTTAACACCATGTAAGTCCAAACAACAACATATGGCTATGAACTGTCCCTTTTACAATGCAAAAATTTTGGGTTGGGGTCGAAGAGGCAAATTGGAAACCCTTTGGTTTTGCAAATGTCCTTCTTTTGGTGAAGGTGCTAACTGGTAGAACAGATTTGTTGACATAGATAAAGGCAGATGCATCCCTTTGTGGATTCTGTGGTCAGTCTTTGAGGCCATTCGGAATGCCTGAGCCACAGTCCATTTTGACCGCTGTGATTTTTTTGTCCTGTTATGTTTCGAAGTCATGTATCTTTTGAAAGATCTAGCATGGAACTTTATTTCTGGTTATCACTCATGTGTGGTCCTGGGGTAGCATAGCTTGATGGTGACTCCATGGTCCATTTCAGTTGTGGGAACCCTTGTAGTGACACCACCCTTGCTCCTACTCTTAAGACATGGACCAGAATGTGTGATTCATTATCAGAATCAAATGAAAGAAACTTAAAAAAAAAAGGAAGAGAAAATAGCAGTGGAAATCAATTGTAACATGCAAACCAAGTTGACTCTGACATAAAGTCGTCTTACCCAATAGCTCAGTGGTTTAAGGAGACAGAGATTAGGAGCTTGGTTTCCGACCCCTCAGTGCTCCTTGACACAGACTGGACTCAATGATCCATAGAGTCCTTTCCAGCTCTATAGTTCCAAGATGATGCTCATGAGTATAATGATTATCACCATTATTCCAATATAAATAAATAAAATCATAAGGTGAAGGTAAAGGTTACCCTTAATATTTTAGTCCAGTCGTGTCTGACTCTAGGGGGCGGTACTCCGTCTCCAAGCCAGAGAGCCAGCGTTTGTCCGAAGACAGTTTCCGTGGTCACGTGGCCAGTGTGAGTAGACACGGAACACTGTGACCTTCCCACCAAGATGGTACCTATTTATCTACTCGCATGTGTACATGCTTTCGAACTGCTAGGTTGGGAGGAGCTGGGACAGGCGACGGAAGCTCATTCTGTTGTGTGGATTCAATCTCACAACGGCTGGCCTTCTGACCTTGCAGCACAGAGGCTTCTGCGGGTTAACCTGCAGTGCTACCACATCCCAAAAAAACATACTCCAGTATAAATAAAAATTAAATAGAATAATGATTATCACCATAATTCTGTTTAATTTGTATTTATATTGGAAAATACCCCATTTGGGTGAGAGGCAGTGGAACTGTGGTCGGGCCCTTGTTGGATGCCAGCTCTTTCTCAAGGGAGCTGGCTCAACCTTCCCCTGTGCTGGCAGGATCAGGCCCTGCTGCTCCCGGCTGCCTCATCCCCTACCAACACCAGCCACCTGGCCCAGGGGGAGAGAAAGGTTTTAACCGGAGCTTCCTTTGGGACCTGACCGGACGAGCGTGCCTGCTGACAGAGGGAACAAGAGACCATCTGCCGGCCACAGCCCACTGGGTGAGAGGCAGTGGAACTGTGGTCGGGCCCCTGTTGGATGCCAGCTCTTTCTCAAGGGAGCTGGCTCAACCTTCCCCTGTGC